CCCCAACCTCTTTCCACTTACCTACTTCAGGACACCAAAGTCAGGCGCACACAAGAGAAAAGGATTCTTCTCTGGGGAAACTGAAAGACCCTAGACAAAGGCCTCTTAAAGATGACATTTGGGAGTCTTCCATCCAAGGAATAGGCTCTTAGTCCATTAACTCTGTAGTGAAGCCCATCACCTGGCCAGCTCCACCTACACACAGAGATTGTTAGTATCATGGGAACTTATCGCCAGGTCTCACCAGCTGAGGACCCTTAAAATAGGTATATTTCATTTTATGTAAATTAAACCTTAATATAAGTGACATTAAAAAAAAAAAAGGCTTAGGTAGCCAGAGATGATCAGGTAGTATAAAGCTATTTGAGGAAGACCATCAACCTGCAAGAATGACCCAAAAAGTAAACAAACCAAAAAAACTTGGAGCAGAGGTAATGAAGGGAGGAGATGACACCTGGGAAATTTAAGATAACGAGAGCCAACTCAAAATTTCAGCTGAAGGATTAGAAAATAAAAGTTGAGGAAGTATCCTAGGAAGCAGGAAAACAGGACAAAGAGATGGACAACAGAAAAGATGAGAGCATGGGAGGATCAGCTGAGGAACTCCAACATCAACAATAAGAGTTCTAGAAATAAATAGAGTATGGAGGAAACAGCAGGAAGGAAAGGATCAAAGAACATGTCTCAGAACCGAAGGAATGAAAATCCCACTGAGTAACCAGCAAAATAAATGATAAAAAGACTCCCACCAAGGTACACCGCTACACAATTTTGGAATAGCAGAATAAAGAGAAGATTCTGAAAGTTTCCAAGGGACTCCAAGTGTCCGTTGGACAGCAAGGAGATCAAATCAGTCAATCCTAAAGGAAATCAACCCTGAATATTAATTGGAAGGACTGATGCTGAAACTCCAATACTTTGGCCACCTGATGCAAAGAGCCAACTCATTGGAATAGACCCTGATGCTGGGAAAGATTGAGGGCAAAAGGAGAAAGGGGCAGCAGAGGGTGAGATGGTTTGATGATGTCACCAACTCAATGGACATGAGTTTGAGCTAATTCCAGGAGATAGTGAAGGACAGGGAAGCCTGGCATGCTGCAGCCCATGGGGTCACACAGATTCTGACACGACTAAGCAACTGAACAGCAATAGCAACTAAAAACTTCCAGAGAAAAAACATATCATATACTAAGGATCAGGAAAAAGAATGGTATTGGACTTTTCAATAGCGGCACTGGAAGCTGGGAGACAATGGAGCAGCATTCTCAAAATTCTGAAGGACTATAATTTCCAACCTAGAAGCCTGTACAGAGTTGAATTATCAATCAAGGGTGAGAGCATAATAAAGACATTTTCAAACAGGAGATCTAAAGATTTTATGTTCTAGGTCTCCTTTCTCAGGAAGCACTGAAGAATGTGCTCCAGCAAAGTGCAAGCATAAACTCAGAAAAAAAAGGCCAAGAAATTGAGGAAGCAGAAAATTAACACAGAAGAGAATTGAAGGGAATCCCAAAGTGATGGAGGAGATCTTAGGGCAACTTTATGCAGGCCTGGAGAGCAACCAGTCTGGACCGCAGTGAGGATGATGTCTCAAAGGAAAAAAAAAAGTCTGATGGATTATGGGATGTGTCAGATTACATTGAGAGGAGAAATGCACTTCTCACAGAGTTTGGGGAGAGTTGATCATAAAACCAAAGAAAACTGGGCTTCCCAGGTGGCCCTAGTGGTAAAGAACCCGCCTGCCAATGCAGGAGACATAAGAGACTTGGGTTCAACCCCTGGGTTGGGAAGATCCCCTGGAGGAGGGCATGTCAACCCACTGCAGTCTTCTTGCCTGGAGAATCCAATGGACAGAGAATCCTGGCGGTCAACGGTCCATGGGGTCGCAAAGAGTCAGACATGACTGAAGCAACTTAGCACACATGCATGATTTGTGCTTGAGAGATGTTCCTTTGGCAGCCAGTGAGAGAAGGTGGTTGTCCATTGAAGAGATTTGCAGTTGGGCAAGTTGATGTTTGGGAGTTGAAGTCACTGGCTGTGCCAGGCCGGGTTCTTAGCTTTTAGAGATGCTTCTCTGGACCAGGGCACACCCCTTTCTCCTCAGGACACTTCCAAGAGGAGCGCTGTACACAGTAGCTCTTCATGTCTCCTTTAAAAATATGTACCTTCTCTTTGTGTCCATATCTCCTTTCTGTTGGACAACTGATCTTGTAGACATGTTGCCCAAATGCTGTGAAGAAACCTTCTCTCTTTTTCAGGTAACTGCATATCTGGTTTCTGATGCATTTCTCATAGCTCTCAGAGGACAGCCTTGTTTATATAATTGTGGGTTGTTGGGAGAGAGGCACCTTATTTCTTCCCCAGGTACTTTTTATAGATGACTTGGAAGAGCAAGATGAGAGTCAGGGGATCCAAGAGACGAGAGCAGAAACTCCAGTATGGCATTTCAAAGGCTTCTATTCTTTTCAGTTATTCTGCCCTGCTGTCCCTATACATCCCCCAAAGGTTCAAGACTGTCAATATTTTGCCATTTATTCTCCCATCTGCCTGATTGCCCCTTGTACCTGGAAGCAGCAATGTCAAAATCCTTGGTCTCATTACATGCCTGAGTTTTAGGTTCAGTAGGGATTTCCTGGTGGCTCAGATGGTAAAGAGTCTGCCTGTAATGTGGGAGACCCAGGTTTGATCCCTTGCTCTGGAAGATCCCCTGGAGAAGGAAATGGCAACCCACTCCAGTATTCTTGCCTGGAAAATCCCATGGATGGAGGAACCTGGCAGGCTACAGTCCATGGGGTCGCCAAGAATCAGACACGACTGAGCGACTTCACTTTCTTAGGTTCAAAAAGTATGGTCACTATACTCATAGACTTCAGTCAGTTACTGTTTATTGAGCATCACTCTTGAGGATGGGAGTTAGTATAGCCAAGCCTTTTGAGAACTCTGGGGTCCAGGCCAGGCCCCCCTACTTGTGTGCTATGGGGCAACTCATTTCAACTTCTGTGAGTCTCAATTTCATCATCTTAAAAACGGATGAGTAATTCCCACTTTGCAGGATCAAAGGAGGTCATGTGTCAAAAGAGCCCGTCACCTTGCGTGGTACATAGTAGTTGCCCAGTGATTGTCCACATTTCAGTGCAGTTAACTATATATGTGGCTTATGCCCTAAAGTAGATTGAGGCAGGGGGCCAGTCTGTGAGCAACTTGAGGGCTTGTATTCCTGACTCGAGGCCTGGTATATAGTAGATTGAATACGTGTATGCTGGAGATTTGGGGGTGGAGTGGCGAGGAGACTAGCCTGCCCGGAGCAGAGGGTTCGTGTTAGGGAGAGACACTGAGGGGCTTAGCCTCCATTCTGTCGACAGTTGGGGAGTCATTGAATTAGGCCCATCCAACCCGGTACCTGCAAATGATTGAGCCAGGCCTCAGACGCAATCTTGTTGTGGCAGGGTGAGATGGAAGTTTTAATAAATGTGAAAAGGTGCTCCGTGGCCCTAATCCTCTGTCCCTTTAGGGGGCTGCAGAGGCTAAAGATTGGACCTACTGTTGTCTACTGTGCCAGGCTGAACCTCACAGCCACCCCACCCTCGTGCCCGCCTCCCTTCCCCTGTCATGTCATTTTACAAGTGAGAAAGCTGAGGCGGGACATCGGACAGTGCCTTCCCCGGGATTATATGGCTAGTAAGTAGCAGAACTGGAAGCACTGGCCTCACCCACTGTCTGTGCTCCTGCAACCAGATGCTTGCCTGCCCTACCTGGCCGGTGGGTGCTCCATTCACTCTTCCAGCAGATACTCACGCTGAGCTCCATCTCCCTTCCCCGCGTGTCCCTCTCACTTTGCACTCAGCATAGATGACTCTCCCCTGACTCAGGTCCTCACTAAGGTTGCTTTCGGTTCTCTCACCTGAGGACAGAGCCTGTGATGTGTTCATCTCTGTCTCCTCCGGGGTGGGGGTGGGGAGGGAGGGGAGAAAAGGAGGAAGAGGACAGACAGGGGACAAGGAAGTCGCTTCACACACTCTCCCCACTTCTTCCTAGCACCCTGGTTCTTCTTCCTTCTCTTCCCCACTCCTAATGACAGCCCCAGTGTCCCTCCCCTACACACACACACACACACACACACACACACACACACACACACACACACATACACACACACACACATACACACACACACACATACACACACACACACACACACACATACACACACCTTCTTTTAGGGATGAATAGCTAGAGGTGTGGTTCTGATTTCACTCATTCTCTCAGTCCCCTCAAAGCTGTCCCCAATGCTATTCTCTTCTCTCGTCCTTCCTTTGCCTCTGAGGGGGCCTCACAATGAAGAAGGCAGACCAGTGTAGTAGAAAGGAGCCCAGCAGCTGACTCACTCACCCTCTCAGCCTCATTTTCTTCATCCGGAAAATAAGCAGGTTGGACCAGGCAATTGGCAAAGCCTTTTCTGTGTTGTTAATAATACCTGGCATTTGTCTGCTGGGTTCCAAAGGGCTTAATCATCCTACAGCCCTGCGGGGATTGGCCTCATGTTACAAGTGGGGAGACTGAGGCTCAGATTCCAAGCAGGGAGGTGATTTGCCCAGGTCACAGGGCTGGTAAGTGGCAAAGCCAGTATGTGAGGCTCCATCTCTCTGGATTTAAACCTCGGACTCTGCCCCTGCCCGCAGCCACTCCAAGGAAGGCTCCTCACCATGACCTAGTAGGCTAGAACATTGTTGGTCCCTGGCACTTCCTTGACCTCACCTCCAACCACTCTTCCCCTCACTCACTCCTTCCTTGCCACATGTTCCTCCTCCTTATCCCAACAACTGGCCAGCCCCTCCTCCATCTCATGGCCTCTGCACTGGCTATTCTCTCTGCATGAAATGCCCCACCCCTCATTTTCATGATGCATAGAAGGTGTCAAGGCCACTATGTAGAGCAGAGGGAGGAAAGGAGTAGAGCATCTACTGACTGTTGTTGGTTTTTTTTCTTTGTTTCTCTTTCAGATCTGATGGTGAGAATTCCAGAACAGTCAGGTCAGTACCTCCTTTCTTTAGCAGTAGTTGGGAGATGGGGCAGGAACTGGGGTAGGGGCAGGGACTGGGGTGGGGGCCTCTGGTTTGTCACTTTGGGATCCATGGGAAGGGGGGGCCAACTCCAGGGGTTTTGTCCCATTAGTATCAGGGGTGGGGATGGAATGGAGTGGGAGGGCCGGGGTGAATGTGGCAAGCATGCGGAGGGGGTTGAAAACTCTTCCTTAGTCTTTCTGACCTTCACTGACTTGGGGGCTTGGCTGAACACTGGAGCGGCCCATGTGGGAAAGCTGGACCAGGGACCTTCTCCCTCTCTCCTCCCAGGAGACAGGGACACAAGGGAAATGGAGCTTCCCTTGTCTGGCGTTTGTGCTGCACCCTGGCCTGCACTAGCCCTGAGTAGTGGGGTTTGGATGGACTTTTTGATGTGACACAATCTAGACATTAGAAATGTACCTTATGGTAACCAGTGGACTTTTTTTTTTTTGCACACTCGGTGAAAAAGGCTTACAAGCATCACTGAGTTTTCAGGGTGTGATCAATCTGCCATTTGAGGAGGTGTGGGTCAAACTGGGATAGAGACAAGGACTATTAGTACATTTCCCAGGCCTTAACCCATCAGAAGCTTCACGAAAACACAAGTGTCAAGGATAGGGACCATGTGGGAATGATGGGGGGCTCAGGATATGGCCCAGTTAGGCAGCATCTAGGCCAGAAGTGGGCCTCTGAAAGGAGATGGGTCCCAGCCGCAGAGGCACGAGATGGGTCACTCAGTTCCAGTCAGGGCTGCGACTAACATACACAGCACCTGTGTGAAGAGTAGAATCCACTGAGTGGATCAGTTGGAGGAATGTTCCCTTTCCACTGGGCTCCTGCAGCCCCTCACCAGGGTTCCTGGCTCAGTGAGCAGAGCACAGGTTGAATTTCAGCCCCAACTCATGCCCTCTTGGTTGTAAAGCTTTGTGCAAGGCACAGCTTGTCCAACCATATGCAGCAGCCCAGGTTCTGGCATCAAGGCAGTGGATATGGGAGAGGCAGAGGATCCCAGCATTCAAATGGAGGTGCATTAATGAGACACGCTGTGTCCTAGCATCCCAGACAGGGGGTACAGGGTGAGTACACTGGTGTCCTGTGCCAAGGTACGGGCTGTGGGATGGGAGCACACTTGGGCCAACAGGAAAGCGGGAAGGGTGATTGATGCAGTCAGGCCCAGTGTCCAGGCAAAGGGTATATGACAAGACATAATTAATCCCAGCCTGCAGCCAAAGAATATGGCCCGAGCACAACCTGTCCTAGCATTTAGGAAGGCACTGGTCTAGCAAAGAACACTGATTCCAGTGCCCCACTGTGGGTTTGGAAGAAGACAACTTGGGCTGACTCTGAGCACAGGCCCCCAGACATTCCCATTGATATGCCTTGTCAAGGAACCCAATAGAAGGCATCTCTAGCTCTTCCCAGCATGGGTGTTCCAAGGACCTTTAGCTCAGGGCATTTAATAGCATAATCATATATCATATGATAGTGTACATTGGCCCTTTATGACTCACAGAAGTTGTCAGGGGCTTTCTTTCGTTTGATCCTCCCAGTGACACTGTAAGTGGAAGCTGGGTTGGCCTTATCATCATTCTTTTACAGTTGAGGAAACTGAGGCTCAGGCTGGTTATAGGTTTTGCCCACAGCCATGCAGCTAATTTATGGCTGAGCCACCACGGCAGGAGCTCTCAACAGCCTTGCAGATAATAATAGCCATCTCATCCTCATCCTAATATTAGTAGTCATAGCAGCTATCATTTGCTCCTCACCTACTAAGAACTCTGAACATGATCTTATTCAATGCTCACCACAGTCCCATTAGGCATGGATTGTTACAGATGAAGAAAACGAGGTTCCTCAGATGGTCAGCGCCTTGCCCAAGGAAATAAGAGCAATGGGGCAGGGCAGCATCACTCTGACTCACACTCGGGGCTGCCTGCTTCCAAAGCTGGCATTTGTTTTACTAAGATGTGCTTCCTGATATCCACCCTGGACCTACAGTCAAGCAGACTACAGGGACCTTGAGGACTCAGCAACTGTGGAAGCAAGGGTTAAACTTGGACTGTGGAAGGGGCTGGCCTAGAATAGCACTTGTGGGGCAAAATCTTCTAAACATGGTGGGAAGATCCTTTAACTTGGAACCTGGGCTGGCTGGGGTCATCTGAGGATGCTCTCAGGCCCCATGTGTAAATTCTTGAGCTCACTTCAGTTAGGCATCAGGGAGAACTTCCTGGAGAAGACGGTGTCTGAGCTGGGTCATGGAGGACTGACACATGGACTTTGTGTAAGGAGGGCATCCTTGGAAAAGAAACCAGCAGGCATCAGAGGTGAGGGGGGCTGGGTGGGGCAGTCGGTCAGACTAAAACAGATCTGGGCAGGAAAGGAGATGTTAAAAGCTCCTTAACAAAGGACTAGTTTGGTTGGGGCTGGGTCACAGACACCTTCTGTCATCAGTGAGAGCCAGGGGAGGTCAGAGGAGGGAGGCTGGGATCTGCAACATAAGGGCAGCAACTGGATCTGGGCAAAGGGTTCCATTTATGGCCAGGTCGCCTTCTAGTTATGTGACTTTGAACAGATATATTTCCCCCCAGGAGTCCCCGGGTCCTTCCTCGTCTAATAAACATTGTGTATGTGTAGGGGAAACATTAGGAGGGTAGAAGAAAAACATCAAGGAGAGGAGTTAGACCTTGGCTGTTGTGAAAGGGGAACAGGAAGGAGTGAGTAGGGTCAGTGGATTGAAAACCCACTATGGTATGGCAGGGCCCCAGGCATGAGGGCTTTCAAGTATAGGGTGCCAGAGGAAGTGTGGAGTCTAATTAGAGCTGAGCAGCTGGTGTTGTGAGAGGGATGTGGGCAGAAGAAGGTGCCTGGACTTCCTGTGGATCCATGAGAAGTTGTCAGACCTAGAGATACCTTAAATCCAGGTCCAGAAAGGGATGGGCAATGGCTCAAGGTCACAAACTAGTGCTCAGCAGAGCCTGCTTCCTAGCTGTGTGTTGTTTGCAAAGTCATTTACAACTTCTCTGATCCTTACTTTCCTCATCTGTAAAATGAGGTCAATAATTCTGACTTCTTTGGGTTAATGAAAGAACTTAAAACAATGCTCAGCATAAAATGGTGGTACAACACATTGTAGTGCCCTTAGCCAACGCCTAACCCTTTCCATTGTCATTTATGGGGTATTCAAGCTTGAGAAATATGGAGCATAGGACTTGAAAACAGAGAGGCAGGAGGAGCTGATACCCCTGCTACCCAGAAGGGGAGTGAGCCCAGGCCTAGAGGCACTGCCACTGCACTGAGGGTGAAGCTGGAACTTGGGGGCCCTGGGCACCAGGCTGGGGTTGCCAGGCACGCAAGGATGAGAGCCAGAGGAGGTGGCCTGTTGCTAGGGAAGGAGGGAGCGGGTGGGGGAGCTGTTGACACCCGCAGAGCCAGGGACGTCCCCATGGCAACGGAGCCACTGCTGTTGGGAGGAGAAGTGGGAGGAGGAGCCAGCGCTGGCTCTGTTCCCAGAGGAGGCCTCCCACTCTGGGCCTCAGTGCCCCCATCTATCCAACCGGAGCTTGGATTAGATAATTTCTAAAAGATTATTCCTTGTTTTGACCTCCTGGCAATCTGGGGTGGCTGAGACCTCACAGAGCTTCCATGGCTCCCCCATATGCCCAAGACACCACCAGACACCAGAGTGCCCCAGCTGCTTCCAAATCTTCCCTCCATGCAGTCTCCGGTTCAGTGCAGCCTGGTCGCTGGCCCCGCCCAACTCTTTGTTGATACCACTTCCTTTGCCTGGAACCTTGTCGCTTACCGCCTGCTCAGTGCTCTCTGGTTCCGGTGGGCCCAACTCCAGCCCTGTGCACTCTGGGGAGCCTTCCCTGGCTGCCCTAGCCTGCCCAGACTGCTTCCTCCCTCCTGGGCTCCTTTGGCCACACAGGTCTATGCTTCTCCTGCTCTCCTTAGTAATTTGCTGCTGCATTGCTTCGAGCTGCTTCTGAGAGCTTGGGCTCCCCTTGACAGATTCAGATCTTTTCTGTAAATTTATGGTGTCATATTGCGAATCCCCATTTTACATATGAGCCAGTGCTCTGAGAACTTATGTGGCTTGTCTGAGCTCCCCAGGTCCTATGTGGTGGAGCCAGGCTTGAAACTTAGCTCTGTGTAATTGCTGCTGCCCCAGACCCGAGGTAGGTTATGATTTATCAGCTGCAGCAGTGCTTACTAGGTGATAGCTAAAGTCCGTATATGCTGGCCACCATGCTGGGCACTTCACCTGTGTTTTCTCATTTCATCTTCACAATAATCCTATAGGGTTTATATTTTAGTCACTTTACAGGTGATAAAACTAAGGCTTAGAAAGTTAAAATAATCTATCCCCCCCTCATAGAACTCAAATATAAATTCAGAGTTGTGGTCATCATTCTATACCAGAGTTAATCCAGTTGTATTCCAGAAGCACATACAGAGCATTCCCTATGTACCAGTCTTGTGTTGGGTGATCCATGGTGGAGATGGAAGTGGGCTACAGACATAGATGAGCCAGCTCTGGCAAGCCAAAATGGGAGTTTGTTGATGAAAAGCCAGTTCTAAGGACAAGAGGCTGGAAGAGGTAGCACTTGACTCTGATAGTGGGATGGAGGAAGAGGGTAGGGGTGGGGAGGGAGATGGGCAATTTTCCCAAAGAACATACCTTTTCCCAGGAAGCTCACAAGGGGAAAGAAGAGGTAATGGGGTTCTCCCTCTCCTTCCTGTTTATGTTCCCCTGCCCCCTCTTGGCCCAGCCCCAGGAAGTGGGTGACCCCTAAGCTGGCTGCATGCCTGGTTGGCACCAAAATAAACTTGCCTTCTCTCTCTTCTCCTTCCCTTGTCTCCGTCCCCTCTGTCCTGGCTTTAATTAGCAGCCCTGGGGATGAGTCACTTGGCAGCTGGGGAGGGAGGCTGCTGAGAGCCCAGTTGAGCCTGAGTTCCTGGCCCTC